AGGACCCCTTTAAAAAATGCATATGCTGTTTTTTTAGAGCCAGTTACATAAGTAAGTACGTACAATTTAGGACCAAGGGCGGACTTACCCATAGGCAAAGGTAGGCGACCGCCTTGGGCCCCCAAAAGTCAAGGGCTCCCTAAAATGCTTTTCATATAGAATATGCGCATTTAGCGCTGAATGGTTGCTGTTTACAGTGTTTATTACCACGACAACCGTCCGAGTCAGTGGCGCCTGCAGGTGTACAGCTGTAAGCACTGACCATGAGCGCTCAGACTGACCTGAGATTTGCCCAGCAAACATTTCAGCAGTTATTATAGGCCAGTGTGTCCCGTTTTTCTGTCGACTGAACCCATGCCGTCTTTTGCATGCCAAAGTCTATTTCTGCACATAAATATTACGCCAAATAGAAGCAGAAAATCGTGCTATACGCACTTTCATGAAATGTATAATTGCCTTTTCATTATTTTTTCAGTTTTATTTAAATGTGTAGTTAAAACAACTAAAAATAAATGTATTTCAAAGTTTAGAATTAGACAGCACACAGGCTTACGCTGAAAACAACAAAATGGAACCTCAAGGTTGATCTAGGAAAATGTGTGCAAATGTATAGTGCCCCATTCCTATATTTTGCCTGGGGCCCCCAATTCACTAAATCCGCCCCCATTTAGGACAGGACTCTTTAACAGTGATACTGCTGGGGGCCTGCCAATTATTGTTTGAATTTAATTATTTTATCAATCCATGAATTCAAGTTATATTTATTTATTACAAATTAAATATATAATTTAATAGTTTTGTATATTTTAAATATCATTAATTAAATACAGAAAATGTAATAGTATGTTTTTTGAAAGAAGTCTCTTATGTTCACCAAGGCTGCCTTTATTTGGTTAAAAATACAGCATAAACAGTAATGCTGTGATGGCAATTACTCCAGTCCAGTTTGTATTATTTATGTACCATTATAGTTTTATAAAAATTTTGAATTAGCCTTTATTTTATATTTTCAGTTTTCTTTTTTAATTTTAGTTGAGGTTTAAATAATTTTGTTGTGTGCTTTTTTTAACTAATATTATTTGTTTGGTTTACTATTTTGCATTACTGTTTAGGTTTATTATTTTTTATTTCCGTTTTAGTTTTAGTTCAGTAGTTTTTTTCCACTTCCAGTTTTTATTTATTTCCTACTTTTCATCGTAAACTTATTTCACTCAGTTGTCAAGGAAACATTTTTTCATTTCTTTCTTTAGTTTACATTTTCCATCTAATATTTATATTTATTTATTTATATTTTATTGTATTTCAGCTTTTTTAAACAAAAATGAAATAGAACATTTTAACAAAAAGTTTTGATACTTTTAGTTAACAATAATGATCCTGCTCCAGTCTTCAATGTCACACCATCCTTCAGAAATCATTCTAAAATGCTAATTTCAACAGATTAATTATTTCAAAATTTTTGTGGAAACTGTGATACATTTTTCAGGATTGTTAATGAATAGAAAGTTCAAAAGAACAGTCTTTATTGTCACTTCTGATCAATTCATTGCACCTTTGCTGAATAACTTAATTTCTTAATATACAAATAAATAAAAATAAAAATATATACAAATCTTAATGACCCCAAGCTTTTTAAATTCTTGACGTCAGTAGTGCAGGACTGCTCTGTCCACTGTGAGGCACTAGTGCATCAATGACTCTTGTGATACTTTCATGACAGTCACATATTGTGTCCTGGTTGTTGACCTGGCTGAAGGCCACTGAAACATGAGACAACAGATTGAGTCGATCTGACTATTTAAGGGACATATAAATGCTTAGTTAGCAAGACTTATGATCATATTATGTTGCTTAACCTGAACTTCCCCTGCTGACGCCGCAATTTCTTTTCCTGTCGCCAGAAAAAAAAAATGCATGTCAAGAGAATATATCAAACAAATATTGATAGATATATTGAAAATCAATTTGATTTAACAGCACTATAAAATCAAGCAGCTTCTTTCTGAGATTGTCCAAGACTCTATTTTGGAGGATTACACTGTGAACCGTTGAAACCAGACTATTTTTATGCAAACATCTAAAGCCTTTAAAAAATCTTTTCAGAAGCTATTTTATTGTTGTTTATTCGATTTCCAATCAAATAATCTTCATATTTTGAGGCTCATGATTTAGACCTGTGCAGAGCTCAAGGATACCAATGTGGAAGATTTATAAAATGTGGCTAATATTTTCTGCTGAAGGGGTTTTCTGCTATTTTTTGAAGGTTAAGGTCTATAATAATTAGGCTTAAATAGCATTCAGGTCTATTGTAACACATTTAGCCTTGTTTGAATCCATTCCACAGTGTTTCAACCCAAAATCAGAGCAGAAATGGCTAGATTCTGTCAGGGCCTGGAAATGATTAATTCCCTCCTGACCCCAGAGTTCACATCTCTATATGAACGTGCAAATGGAACTGAAATAAACTCGGTCTCTCTGTCTCGATCTGTGATGTAATGCAGCACACACAGTGAAGAACATGGAGTTTTGGAGCTTGACAGTCATGGTCGCCATCCGTTTTCATTGGAAAAGAGTATTGTGAACATGCCCTAAAGTCTCAGTGGTACCAAAGGAAAAGACAGGACAAACTGAACATCTGTCCTTTGACCAGCAGTGACACAGAACAATGTCTTGGTACTTGGTGAAAGTTAAAGGGCTCCTGTTACACACACAAACATAGTCACAGTGACAGCGTAACACTGCAACAACACAGCATAACTGCCAGAGACTGTTTTACACTGAAGCAGTGTCCTGCAGAAGAACGGATCTGCGCAATCACACCATCAGCAAATAAAAACATCACAGAGGGCAATTATCAACTTGCCTGTCCATAAATAATGCCTTCATTTCTTAATTACTTATATTTACTGCTATTTACTATTTTAACTGTAAAAACTGTTTAAAAATCCAGTGTTGTTTTCAGAAAATATATTTTGAATGACGTTTTTCAGCATAATTGAATATAAAACTATGCAAATGTATGCATTTAGAATGTATCCATAAAAAAGGAAACAGTTATAAAACTACTAAATACTATTTGCCAATAGCGTACAAAAAAAAAATCTGCTTCTCAAGTAAATGTTTCTTTTTTTTTTTTAAAGGAAGTTTAGACATTTTTTTTTACTGGGATAAAAGACAGAAATGCATTGTCTCAATTCTGTTATGAACTATTTTATATTGGTTGTTTTATCTCCCAAAGAACATAACACTTCCCTTGTGCAGAGACTTCATAAAGTGCAGTATAAGAGAATGAGGAGTTCAATAAGTTGAAAAGAATGGAGAGAGACAGAGCAAAGAAGTAAAGCACAGTAAGTACCTCGGGCAAATGAGCCGGTGATCAAGCCGAAAAAGCAGCTCAGCATACTGGCCAACTCCTTCTGACACTCATTCTTACAGTCCTTCACAGCATCCATGTCTTCAGTAATGTCTCTCGAATGTCTCAACTGCTGACCGAACAGTCTCTGTTAAACTACTGTAACTCATACAATTAAAAAGTCCATTAAACCATCACCAGCAGACAGACTAATCTCTAAAAACTTCACTTCAAAAACACTCTGACACTTACTTTGTCCTCAAACTTCCTCCTCAGTTAGGAGAGAGTTTCAAGATCACTCAGAGTTTAGTCAGTTAAGATCAAATTCATGACTGAATATTTATGAATATTCAGATGAAGAGTTTTCTTTAGGCTGCTGTGATTGTCAAATTAGTTTTTATCCATTTCTTTTTCAAAGAATAGACAAAACCATACCGCCATCCTGAGATCCAGAGCTGGAGGGTTTTGCTGCTCGGTGCAGAAAAGTCTCAATGTGACCCAATGTAGAACATACTGCTGATTTGTTATCTGGATAACATTACACCTCCCAATCCAGACGTGGACAGTAATCCAAACCAAACAGCTAGTGAGGTCCTCAGAATCCTGACAGAGTTTGCTGTATATATCTGAACATATCCTGACTGCTTAGGAATTAAAGCTATGAACAGGAAGTAGCACTGATCTGAGAGAGAGAGAGAGAGAGAGAGAGAGAGAGTAGAATGCTCAAATTTCACAGGATGTAATACAGTATGCTGCACAGTCACAAGACATCAAATAATCTCTTAATTAATAGGAATAGTTCTCCCAAAAATGTACATTTGCTGAATATTTACTCACCCTCAGGCCATCCAAGATATACAGGTGCATCTCAATAAATTAGAATGTCGTGGAAAAGTTCATTTATTTCAGTAATTCAACTCAAATTGTGAAACTCGTGTATTAAATAAATTCAATGCACACAGACTGAAGTAGTTTAAGTCTTTGGTTCTTTTAATTGTGATGATTTTGGCTCACATTTAACAAAAACCCACCAATTCACTATCTCAACAAATTAGAATATGGTGACATGCCAATCAGCTAATCAACTCAAAACACCTGCAAAGGTTTCCTGAGCCTTCAAAATGGTCTCTGTTTTGGTTCACTACACAACCATGGGGAAGACTGCTGATCTGACAGTTGTCCAGAAGACAATCATTGACACCCTTCACAAGGAGAGTAAGCCACAAACATT